ACTTAGAGGGATACTTTTAAAACGTGGGAATAGCTAACGTGATATTTGACTATTTGAATTGGTATGTACATTAGGGTGGGTACTGGTACTTCAAGAGACTCTGCAATGAACGCTACATAGGCTTGTAGATTTGCTCCTGGCATAAAAATACTTGAACGCAAAATATAAGCAATCGCTTTATTTTGATCACATCCTTCAAACTTTGTTGTCGTATCAAATTATTTTTTGGATTTTGAATGAAAAGAGTTTTGAAAAATTTTCTGTTGGTAAATAGAGTCCCATTTTTTTTTTAAATAAAAATTGAAATTTGCACAGACAAGCGTAACAGTAACCATCTTGTGCGCCTCTTTGTAGAAAGCCCACACCTTTCAGAAAGGACGCAAATGGACCGAAAAAGTCAAAATTTGGAGTTTACACAAAAGTTGAGTGCGAAATCAGAAGAATGTCTGGAGCGACGTTCCCATCCATATTTCACATTGTCACGACAAACGTGCGCCTCCGGCGGCGACATGGTAACCGCATCCGATGGTTTACATTGCAATTCGAAGAACTCAAGTTACCAAAATTTAAGTTTCAAAAGTGATCAGTCGGAGGAACAATTCGAAGATGCCATACAAAATGTCGATGCGCAAGCCATTAAGGCAACACCTAGCGATTTGAGCAATTCCACAGATATGAGACCCTCATACCATGCCACCGTCAAGCGAAAATCCAAGCATTGTGAGGTCGGTTCGAAATTGAAAGCTGAACTATCCAAGTATAAGAAAGAACTCAAGGAGTACAACAACACCACCAAAGATTTGGAAGAGAAGTATATGAAGATAAATTTTGAATTGAATGAAATGCAGCAGAAGCACGACCGTTTCGTGGCCAATCGCAAGTGCTCCAAAGGCACGGACGTTTATTCGGACAGCAGCAGCAGCACTGGCTCCGAGTTTTCCTTGAAGCGCAAGTACACACAAATATTTCATCGCGGTAGCAGTTTCATGACCATGCTGCCACCCGGTTGCACTACCTCGAATGAGAATTTGGAAGCGGAATATAATATGCCGGAACAGGATGTGTCGGTCGGTCGTAGGAAACGTAAACTCTCATCGACATCCGAATACTCAAACTTGCGACAACAAAATGGCCAAATGTCACAGAAACGCCACATAAAGCGCAAGTCCGAGAACAAAGAGAACGAGGTGCCACACGATGTGGACAAATACAATACACGCGGACATGCGGCCGGTTTGAAAGACATCTATAAAGTGCTTAAGAACGTTTTGGATAACAATCAGAAGACGCATGGTCTGAGTAAAACCGCAGACCTAAAAGAGCTACAGTCGATTATATCGAACCTTCAGTGCGAGCAGTCGCAATTTCGTAACATTATACAACAACAGCAAAACTGTTTACAGGACTACCATACACGTTGCATCAAGGCGCAGCACATAATGCAAACCCAGCAAATAGAAATCGAGAAGCTCAACTCAAACAACCACCAACTCGAGACCGAAATCAGCACTGGCATCGATCAGCTGCGCCAGAAGATCGACTCCAAGTTGCGCGACGTATCGCACTTGCCACAAATGATGCGCGAGGAGCAGTCCAAGTACGAGAAGGTGCACAAAGAGAACAACATGCTAACAGAGCGGGTGCGCAACCTGCAAGGCGAGTCGAATCAGTTGAAACTGAAAATGGATGAGCTGGCACGTCGCAAGGTGATGACCATTAATCGACTCAAAGCAGCCGAGCGCGACTTGAAAATCTTCAAGAATTACAACACATCCCTGAAACATGAGAAACGCAAACTGGCTGAGGAGATGCAGAAGCTGAAGGAGCAATTGGATAGTGTGCAGAATGCCAGCAAGCGCACCATGGCGCGCCAGCGTGAGCAAACGGAGAAGCAACGACGTGACTTGCAGAAACGTGTCTTCGAGCTTGAATTGAAGCTGAGTCGTAGTCAAAACTCAACGACCAGCTTAATTCAGGAGCGAGACAGTTTAATTGCCGAGTTGCAAACGCAGCTGAACACACTGGTGCACAACTTCGAAGTCTCGCAGAAACACATTCGCGTGTTGCGGCGGCACATCTACTCCATGTCCGGCGGCAATGTGCGTTGTCCGAATTTGTTGAGTGAGAACATGTGAGTGGTCAAGTGGTTAGGTGAACAGCGCAACATTTCCAATACTTCGCGTCTATCCGTTAACCAAACCCTTAACGATGTACCTTGCTGCTTTGGCTTACAACTGGTTCCTTGTGCAAGCGCAGTGCAGCTTTTGATGACGATCGCTCAAAGCTTTTTGGAACATATAGTGCCCGACAGCGCTACGCTGATGTCTTCCACTATGTGCTTCACCCTGTTGTTGGCGATCGTCGGAGAATCGGAGAATCGGAGACCGTTTTCCTAACGCGAATAACTGCTTCGTTTGTTAGCCTAGGTATACTGTTTTAAATTTATAGTAAAGTCAGAACAAAGCAAAGGAAATTCTCTTATTTTTGTATGTAAATTATTAATAAATGTTCAAAATTTGCAAAATTTTTATATACTCGCCTAAAAATTGCAAGGTATTTATATTATGGCAGGTAAATGAAGGTACCACCCAAAAAATGGTCGATCCTTCCTATGAGCGTGTTAATTTCAATATGGTTTGGATTAATATGGTCGGACTCCGTTACTCCTTTTTACATCCTTTATCTTTCGTTCCTAAAAATATGTAGTCGTCGAACCACTACAAACCAATTTAAATGCTTCGAAACTGTAACGGTTTGGGATATCAATGATATTCTTTATTCCTGTGAAAGTACATTGGTTGCCATTATGTATGGAACTCGATTTGTTTTGCACGCTTGCAAAAGTCCAGACCCTGAACTCAATTTTCGACTGTTTCCAAGCATAAATCGGCCGATACTGCTGCAATTTTACGTTGGATACACATTCGGCGCTTGACGTAGCCCCATCGGAAATAGTCCAATGGCGTCAAATCGCACGATCGGGGAGGGCTAATTGACTGGGCCACTTCGTGAGATATCACGTTTCACCAAACTTGGATTACAATGAATCGATTGTGACATTCGGTGTGTGGGGCTTGTGGCGCCGTCTTGTTGAAACCAAATATTATTCAAGTCCATATCATGCGATTCGGGCCAATAATATTCGGTTATCATTACGCGGTAGCGATTCCCATTCACCGTAATGTGCCGATCTTGATTATCACGGAAGAAGACTGTAATTTTTTTGGGATGCATTGGTGACTTATGGAGTACGTGTGGATTGACCAATAATGCATATTTTGCTTGTTGACGAAGCCATTCAGCCAGAAATAAGCCTCATCGCTGAAGATGATTTTCCGATGAAAATCTGGCTCAGCCCAATTCACGAACATACGACGTTTCTGCTGGTCAAGGGGCTTCAATTCTTCCGTCAATTTGAACTTTTAAGGATGTTGGTCAAGCTCTTTTCACAAAATTCACCACAACGACCTCACAGTCGTACCCAATGATTGTGAGAGACTGCTGTGGATTTTACTCAAATGATGCGCTAGCGGCAGCAATATTCTCGACACTACGGGCACTTGCAGGTGATATTTTGTACTTGTGGATTCTGCTTGTGGATTAAAATTTTTCCAATTCAATTCTGATTGATCTGACAGGACGGTTATGACGACCATAAATTGAACGTCGCGCTCTTAAAGTTGAGGCCACTGACTCCGAATTTCGATAGTAAATTTTAACAATTTCGATGCGTTGAATCGTATGTCTTTCCGTGATGAGTGACAACTTAGCGCAGAGTGAGCAATCTCGGATTCGATAACCATTTTATAGCTTCGAAGAGACTTCGGTTTCTTCTTTTTGGTATAAAAGAGGCTTCTTTTTACAATCTTTGAGAGCAATTCGCAGCAACTAGGCGGCACATATTCCAAAAGTATACTTTCTTGTTTGAAGTTAGAAAGACTGACCCCACTTGTCTGAAAATACATCAAATATACCGGTTGGCTTAACAAGACAGCTTAGAACCTTACTTTATGTTAGTATCATCCTTAGTATCCCCATTTCATCCTCATTACATGTAAGCCATCTAACTAATATTGCGCCCTGATCGACACAGAATGCGATCGAAAATCAGCGCGGACGCCTATAGCATACCTTATTCCATTTCATTTCCGAGAATGCGAACACCGACGAGCGCAATCAAAACAAAATCGTAAATTGTTTGTCAACACAAGTCTTTATTAATGTACACACACATATACATATGTAGATATGTCGCATCAGCATTTCTCGTAATATTTCTACGAATCGCATAGACGAGCGCAAATGTTAAAAAAGTGCCGCACGAAATTTATATTCGAAAAACGTAAAAGCGAAACAATCGAGCACTCAAAAGGTATTCACGAATTACATTTGGAATTTTACTACATAATGATTAAGTACACACTACATAGTACATACATACATATGTAGCGATGCCTTGTGGAGTCGTCCGCACTGATTTGAAAATGCAAACGCGTCTAAATATTGGCCATTAATCGGCACGTGTCCATGCTGCCCGAGTGTTTATATGTAGACTTTGACGCTTGGCGTTTCGACTTGCCGATTTCCATCGACGCAATTTCAGTGCTCCGAATGGGGCGAACTCACAAAGTCAACGCGCAGAGAAGAGCATATGCGCGCTTGCTTGAATATAGTACGAATAGTTTGAATATGCCAGAGGAACGGCTAAAATTAGACAATCCGCAAATGTAGCGGCGCTCCACGCAGCCACTGCAGCTGTGTACGTGTGCGTGTGTGTCGCATAAATGTATACAAAATCACTTAGACGTTGGCATATACGGACGCGTGTGATTGAGTGCACACGGTATTTGCCAGGCGGTCTCTGGCGGCGGCGGCACGGAGCGATTGCTCATTAAGTGTGTAGTGGGTTGTGGCATTGACGGCATTGACGACGTCGGAGACGTTGGGGTGCTGCGGTGCGGTCTTTTGGCTGAATGTTTTGTTTCAAAATTCAAATTAAAATCAGCAGCCACCGTCACAAGCGGCTAGCCACAGCAGCGGGCGGCTGAAGGAGCACAATTTAGTGCGAGCGTTTTTTGCGTGTTTGCTCGGCATGTTGCTCAGTCAGTGCGGTATTGGAATTTGCATTCGACGTGCCGTGGAGCGGATGAACGGGTTTGCGGAATTCAGTATAAAGTCGAAAACTTCGAATGCGCCGTGTCGTTGCACCTGTGAGCCGATGGAGTGTGGCACTGCTGCTTGTGTGTGTGGTGCGAATTTCACCTGCCGACGCCATAGTGGATGCTGAGAGCTGTTGGAATGACAGTGACGCATGTCTCATACAAGCCACGCTACACCGGGTGGACGAGCCACCCCAATCCACGGGTTTGGCGGTGCAAATCGATTGCCAAACAAGAACAGCCGGTGAAAGCAGTCGCGCGCCCGCTTATCTGTTGCGGCCACTGGAAAGCTTGCTGCTCGATGGCTGCCACACGCCACTGGACGTCGACACTTACGGCATGGAATACCTGCCCTACTGCGGCACTGTGCCCCAAGTCTACATGGAGCGCTTCCACGCAGACACGCTACAGCCTTTTAGCTGCCCAGCTGCGAACAACAGCGTGTTGGAGGTGGAGATTCTGCGCTTTCATAATAATGAATTGGCCACCATAGGCACAGGCGCGTTCGTGAATCTACCGCGTTTGCGGGAACTATACTTCGCACGCAACACGCTGCGCCACATAGCGCGTTCGGCGTTTGATACGCTACGCGTCGTGGAACGCATTTACATCGCGCACGAACCCTTGTTGGCGCTCAAGGACGGCGATCTGTTCGAACGCACCGGCGTCGCTGATTTACAGCTGATGCATTTGAAATACATCACGTCCGACCTATTTGGCCATCTGCCCGAGACGCTGCGTCAAATAGTCGTCACACGCACCGCCTTCGATGACGACACCGTGGTGGTGAGTAACCCTCAGCTGCTGCGCAATATATCAATCAACGACTGCACCTTGAAATCGTTCACGCTGCTCGAGTCCGCACAAACAACCAGCGTGCGTTACATCAACTTGAGTGGCAACGCGTTGAACGCATTTCGTGTGGATTTTCTCAGCGATGGCAGCAACGCGTCGATTGTGGCCGTGGAAACGCTGGATTTGAGCGAAAATCAGTTGACGCAATTGCCGTTGTTATGGCTGAGTGAACTGAGAAAGCTGCGCCATTTACTGTTACGCGGAAATCGGCTGAAAATGCTCTCATTGCCGCCGCTGATGTCCGCCATACCGGCGCTGACGTCATTGGATTTGCGCGACAATGAGCTGACGTCACTGCACGATGCAGCCGCCGTGGCCGCCTTGAGTTGGGAGCAAGTGCGCATACAGATCGACCGAAATCCATGGCATTGCCTGTGGTTGCTCGACTTTGCGCACACACACCCCGAAAAGTTTCGCGTCTTCCAGTACGCCAAATACATTTCGCAAATTAATGTGAACGGCTTGCAATGCGTACCAGTGGAAGTGCCTGCTACAGCGGACAATGTCACGGAAAGTGTGCCAACTGTGTATGAAATAACAACCGCACAAGGCCCGACGATGGTGCGGGGTATTCAAATTCATGGACGAAATACGGGTGTGGTGAACGCCTCCACTTACAAATTAATCTACGGCGGTCCGTGGGATACTAAGCGCAGTCAACGCGCCGAGGCGCTGATAATTGTGTTTATGCTACCGGTGGGCGTGGCGCTACTATTTCTTTTACTCTATATGTGGATCAATTGTCAGAGGGTGTTCCACTTGTCGTACTATCGTTCCTTTGGTTGGTCGCAACGTAATATCGGCAGGCGTTTTACGAGCGCGGAGCGTTTCGATGTCGTGCGCCAGCTGCCGCCCACCGCGAATGCCTTCAATGACAACACAAACAATAACGAAGACTACGAGACGCCTTTGAATGGCATCGGCTCCGTGTGCAACTGCAACAATATTGGCGCGGCCACGTACGCCAATGAGAAATGCAGCAAACCGCATCACATCACCTATGAAGAATTACCAACGGAGCAGCCGTATAAAATCTACGAGGAGATAATTGGCGATGACGGCACAGACACCGAGACGTATGCGCAACCTTTTTACGATCACCTTTCGTATACGCAACCGGCCAAGAGCGATGTCACGGATTCCACATGAAACAACAGCTGATATACAAACTTGTTTGATTTTCATAAAAAGATACACTTCTGTATGTATGAAGCTAATATTTGCACTTACACATGTATGTATATGTATATTTATATTTAACACCCGTATATAATAGTTTTTAATGGTCGATATAATATTTAATATATGTATATTTATATTTAACACCCGTATATAATAGTTTTTAATGGTCGATATAATATTTAATTTTTTAACACCTAGTTGTTATTCAAATAAGTTTTTAACTAAAATTATGTAATAAAAGTGTAAATAAATAATGGCAATAAAATAAATTATGGAAGTACATATGTACAAACATACATATATTATATCGCATAAGCAAAATAAATCACTAAATAAATAAACACCTTCATTGAATGTTAGCAGCGACATCTATGATTCATACTAGTCATACTATCTATAACCAAAACACGTTGCTATGGAAGAAACAAAAACAACTATGCCGTGCGCCATCTAGTGTTGGATTTTGCTTTTTACGCAAACAATGTATTTGTAATAGGGTTTTTGGCCAGATATTTATTAAGCTGATTGCAACTAAATTTATATTTTGAATTTGTATGCTATTTTAATTAAAAACAACAACAATGTAGCAGAATCAGATCTTTCATGAGTTGCCTTTTCAAAGCCTCTGTTATGGCATAACCGTTACCTTGACAACGCACGTCATTCTTCCTCTTCTTTTACCATTAACTCAGTTTCCTTTTGGTTATAGAAAATATGGCACTTTGCCAAAGAAAGCAAGATTAAATAAAGACAAATTAAAAAATGCAGGGCGATAAAGTAAATTCACAGGAGTCAAATAATTTGCCAGTGACCACATTTCAGTCGGATGATCTGCTGGAAAAGCTAAAAATGCTGAATTACGAGAAGCAACTATTGAATGAGTACAAAATGAAGCCGCTCTCGCGTTTCTACTTTGTCAAATCTTTTAATCCAGGCGAACAGTTCTTCATGTTTACGCTGATTTGCTGGTGGCTATGCCGTAAGCTGGGCAAAGAGATGGATCGGCCGCAGGAATTCGATGATCCCAATACAGTGGTTGCCAAAATAGTGCAAATACTGGGCGAAATGGTAAGGACGGGCCTGCAATAAAAGTGTTCGTCTCTGACTTCTTCCCAACTCTCATTGAACTCGTTTAGGATGTGCCAGTGGATTTCCCACCCAACAAGCTTATACGCGGCGCAGGCCCTATTTGTTTGAACGTTTTGGATATACTCGCCACTCAAGCCACCAAAGTAGCGCAGGTTAGTTTTAAGTGTATACGTATGTGCATGTGCAGGTGTTAAAATCAATTGCTAATTAATACAAACAGATAGCCTACAATCGGCCGCACATAGCGCAGGAGGATGAGGTTGCGACAGATTACTTGGAAGATAACGCGGAAATCATATTGGAAAAGCTGGAAGATGAACAAAATGCCGCCTTGAGCGATGATAGCGATATGGAGGTGAATGGTGGTGGCGCTTTCAAAAATCTCAACTGGGTAAATCGCACACGGCGCGCGGATCGCAATCACAACATCGATTTGCCTGATGATAACGCGGCCACGGAGCGCTTTACTGATCAGCAGCAATGGCGGCAGGAGTTCGAGCGTGTGATGCCGCAACTGAAAGTTTACGTGAAAGCCGATGCACGCGATTGGCGCACACACTTTAGCCAAATTGAGTCACTGAAGTCCAGCATAGATGAGGTAACATGTTTATTCACTTTATGTGTGAGTGTGCTAAAGTCAGCTTTTCCTTCAAGTGCTCGGAGGACACACAATCGCAATTGAAAAAGCTGCACAGTGAATTCACCTTCAGTCTGGAGAAGATCGAAAGTCGGGAGAAGCATTTGAATAATGAGCTGCAGTCATTCATACGGCAGTTCAAGGAAATCTCCATCGAGCTATCCAATGTTCAACTTGCCCAAATGCAAGTGCAGACTGACACCGAGGCGCTTATGACGCAATTGAATTCCGTTATACAAGAGAATGACATCAAGAAGAGTGAAATGGAGCGACGCGGTCAATCCATGTCCGATGGCAGTGAGTGCATGCCCATTATTCTCGTTTATTATGTTTTATTGAAAGAAGAAAGTCTGTTTTTAATAATTTTTCTTACAGGTTCCGTAGTAAACATCAAGAAGGCGATAAATAAGCTTAAAGAGGATACGGCGCACTTACATTTGGAGGTGGCACTGTTGGTGCATGGCATCGATCAGGACATTATGCGTCAGGCAGGGAGTCTCACTGAGACTGATTCCGGTTATGAGACGGCAACACTGAAGACCTTTTAGTGCGAGAATTTATTATTATTTATTTACTATTCTGGATTTTAGATATATTGGAAAACATTTGTGTATACATACATACATACATAGTATATTCATATGTAAGTACTGTTTAGATACGAATTTTATTTTCTATTGTAATATATGTATATTTGAAGCTATTTTAAATATTATGAGAAGTCTGCTTAGGGCTACATTGCAAGTAAAATTGGCATTAGAATACACTTGCATGTTGTTGTTGTTGTATGTATGTATGTACGTACACTCGTTTTCACGATGGTCGGGTCTAAGTAACCGGAACGGACCCGAGTTTTTAATCAGCCAAGGACTGTTAACTTGGCACCTTGACTCGGAATTAGTTCAGGAATGTTTTCTGCCGCTATTATAACAACAACAAAATCGTAACAATTCTTTAAAGACTTTCAAAACTTTCGAAGCAGCGCTGCCAGTGCGATTACCAAGCAATGAAGGCGTCACGGAAGGCATCCTCCGGAATAAACTTGATAGCCGAGTTGCATGCTGCTTAGATCCCCTCTGTGGTCTCAAAATGCTTGCTTTTCATTGACCTTTTCAGGCAAGCAAACAAAAAAGTCCGGAGGCCACATCTGGGCTGTAGGGCGGCTGCGGAAGCGTTGGGACGTTGGTCTTGGCCAGATAGCTGTTCACAAGAAAGGTGGTGTGAGCCGGAGCGTTGTCGTGGTGTAACTTCCAATCAGCTGTGATGTCTTGTCGGATCCGATTGAACCTTCGTTTGAGTCTCTTGAGGGCTTAAACGTAAAACTTGGCGTTGACGGTTTGTCCAGGTGGCCGATGCATTTGATGTGCTGAGCATCGTTTTCACTTTGGATTTTCTGTTTGTCCTGACTCTCCAGGTGCTCGGAGACAACTGATCAGCCGCTCGTTCGTTAGCTAAGAACGCCTTCGGTCCGTAGTGCAGTCGGTCCGAAGTACAGTCGCGGCGGAAGAAAATCAGTCCTATTACTGTCCGGACAAACCCTGTATTGGTTGGAAATCAGAAGTTTTCTTCGATATCATATAACATAATATCCAAGAAACGTGCCTAATCAAGAGTGCATGTTCAAAGCGTGATTTTACGAGGGTTGCCCCGGCATTTCTAAATGCTTCTGGCAAGCGGTTCTGTTATATGCTGTTTCTGCAGCGGTGATTCCTTATACATACATATGTATATATATGATAATAGTACCTTCCGGCATTTGGTGGTCGCTTGCGGTTTACTATATAGGAATCTGGTAGAGCTCTTGAGAACCGTTGATGTGCTCTCTTGGCTACTTAAAGTGTGTGATTATGCATTGTGTACGTTTTGTGGGTGGGAGGATAGGAAGGTAGTTGCCATAACGTTATATACTTTTCACTCACATAGAATATTCGTTCAAACCCATATCTGATTTGATCAGAAAATGAGATCCAGACTTAGACTTAGTGCTAAAATGAGTGAGTCAAGACAAAATTAGACTCATAAAAGCACGGTTAGGTCGGCGTACACTGAGAAACAGTTAATTGATAAAAGAAAATTTCTCGCTTCTGGGAAAAGTGGAAATTATTTATCTCTGCATTGATCCCCAACTAAATATGTTTTTCAATGGAAATGTGTAGGAACGGAAATCTTGAGTTGTTAGATATGTCTTTGCTGCTTTCCTTTTATGCCTCATTGCGCCTTAATTACTTCTAACCGCTTACCATAGATTGCCAACGCTGGTGTTTTAAGCCATGGCAGACACGGCCAACAGATACTTGCTTGTTTACTGTTGTTAGTGGCATTCATTGATAAGCAATGATGATGTCCTGCAGAGCAAGATGCCAATAAAACTGTATGCCATTGCACTCATATTCACACATTTGTATGTATGTGCATGTGTGTGTGTATGTTTGTGTGAGCTCATGTATGCATTTTGCATTATTGAGGTTTGATTTTCCCATGTTTCACACAATGACCCCTGGCGAGCAAATTAAGTAAATAGCGATACCGTTGGCGACCACCAGCGTAATTGCGATAAGACAGAGGCTATTAAGTCGCAATTGGTCCGCCTGCACAAATACGCAACTGCCTGGTCGTCTATATACAAACAGACACAACCACATTCATTGGCCGCAGTGCCAATATATGCACATACATACATACATATGTATGTGTGTGCATGTGAACATGCACTTATATGTACATTAATATGTTGCATTTAAGTGCAATTATCACCTCTTTGTTATCTATCTCCCACACATCGGCGGTCGCCCCTCGGCCTCCACACAAACGTTGTCCTCAACGTCCTCCGCTTGCGCTTCGTGCTCATCGGGCATGCCGACGTCAGATACAAGGTGTTTATTTGTTTCACCGTCCGTCCGCCTGTATGCACTGTTTGTTTGCTTATTCGCAGCGCTCGCCGATTTCTGTGGTCGCCAATGCGGTCGGCCGCCTGTGTGTTGGCGTTGTCATACACATTACATATTGTTATTCCTGCTGCTGTTGTTGTTGTTCTTGTAGTTGATTGTTGGTGATCATGTTAATGTTAGCTTGTTGATTGTTTGTTGCTGTTATTTGCCATTGCTCTGGGTAAACAAATTAACGCAATCCACTGTCGGTAACCGCAACGCAACGTGGCCATCGCAACTGCCTTCGTCGTCGAAAACGGCGTTTGCGCCTGTGTGCCTACGCAGCGATTCGATGTGCGATAAGCGCAGAGGCGTTGATGCTTATCACCACGAATTGTTCACGGCAATTGTTCATACACACACACACACACACACACATAAGCACACCGCACCTAATGCATATTTGGCTAAATGATGATGGGGAGCAGCGGTGACTGGTTTCACATGTTCATGTGTAATTAGGAGCCCGACCGAAAGGATCTCCGACGTCCTTTCGTGTTTAACTTTCATTGCCGCCACGCGCCGCTACGTGACACGCGAGCCAATGAATTTTGCAAGCAAATATCAAGTAAATTTATTTAGTTTATTTGCCTTACGGCGGTGGTAGGTAAGCACGTTTCGGCGCGTTTGTTTGTTTTGGTAAACCAGTGATGTTGTTCTTTCTGTAGTATCCTTTAAGCATTTTGTTAAAAACCAAATACAAGTGAAATGTGCTAAAAGGACTGCTCTCGGGCAACAGGTACAAGAATACACCGGAATTAACGAGCAAACACATAAAAGTATTATTTGAAATTAAACAACATTGTGCGACGTATGCTGCAAGTACAACAGGATATTGGAAAATCATCGAAAGGCATCTCATATTAACAGCATTTTTGAAAGGTTATATTTGGAATTTCCAAAATTGGTTCGATAAAACTTGGTATAGGGTGGATCAACCGCTGTAATTACGATAACCACTGTTTATTTCGAATACTACAATGTGCTATGTATTTCCAAAAAAAAATTTTTTAATTTAGTAGACCCCTAGTTAGTTAGTTAAACGGGGATCCACCCTTTTATTTCATAACATCGAAGATTGGAAAATAGTCCTGGTCGAATATTGGAACCAACTAAAAGTATACAACAGTGCAGAACCCTTTGAAAATGGTAAAAAGTGAAAAAAGTCATAATACGTTGAAACCTATAGTAAACGATAGATAAAATTTCAGAAATTAATCGAAAAATAATTTACGCGCGATCTGAGGTCGGTTTACTCGATTTCTGGCAAAATTACGTGTGCTTCAGAAAAAAGTTTATGACAAAGTTGCAGATAATGAAAGGATATACAATTTCTGTTCGTTAAATTTTTTTACATAACCTCAAAATTTATGTCAAAATTTTAATAACCAAGTTTTAGGGTTTTTATTTCATTTCGAACAAAACTCAAGCTTCTTTCATGAGATTTGGTGTAAAGTAACCCTCCTATGTCCCAAAAAATTGTTTTCTTTATTTAAAATAATAATAAGGATATTAATAATATTATTCAAATGGGATGAAACTTTATTTTACTTAAATTTATTTATTTAAAACCTTAGTACAAAATATCGGATTTTATTTAAAGTCTATAGGCTTTATATTTCTTGAAATCACTACTTTCTGACGGTTTAAAGGATACTTTTGAATATGTATATAGTACATTACAATGGTATTTTTCAATAAATTTCAGATAACAATAGGAAACGGTTAAGTTCAGAAATCCCAAATTATTCATATTTCTTGTCATTATTGCTATTATTACAATCTTCATTTTAATAAATACATATGTATTTTTATAATAACTTTATTACCTACATACATATGTATATGTACATATGTTTATTTTTACAAAATTTCTACTCTCATTCTTATTTTATATGGTACATACATATGTAGTATACATATCTATCTATAAATTCGAAAATTACTCACACGTTGTACTCTCATATGCATGTTCATACATGTCATCCATACTTCGGCAATCACCATTTTCTTTATTTTAAATCCGTTACATTGTCTCTGACCCGAGCTTGCAGTTGCGAAATTGATTTGTGATTGGTCCAAAGTGCGGCAAACCAAAAAAATCGCCAAGTAAGTTTGTATACAATTGTGTTATTATCAGTAATTGGCAGTCATGCTCGTGATTCTACTGAGCCTTCATTACACTGGAATGCATGTATGATATAGTATGTACACAATACATAGCGAGTTATATACATTGTAGGTTATGTTAAATTTAGTATTTACTGGAAAAACATATGTATTTATAGCGGTTCAATTATCCACATGATTTATGGATGTAGTTAATATAGAGTTGAAGATTATTTTTCCAATTTCTAAGATGCTCCTTTATAGACCCAAAAGCCAAAAATTGTAACGAAAGGATCTTCGAATTCTATTGTTTTATTCAATATTGAGAGTTTCATCAGTCGTTTCTCATTTTAAACCGTTTTTGAAGTTTCCAATCGATTTTATATATGTACTATATGTATGTATATACTCCATATACTCTAAGAAAAACGAAAATCATTATATGTAGTATTTATTTTAAAAAATAATCCATACTATTAATGTGCCAATACTAATAAAATGGTCTATGGGTCTCATTAAGGTACCTCACATACCACCACCAATAATAT